CCATACAGTCAGTTCCACTTTTAATGCACAAAATTTCAACGAAATTTTAGGGAACAAAAAAATCTCAAAGTAAGGTACAAAATTTGTAATTTTTTTTTATTTACAATTTATTTTACACGAATCTGATTTTTGTGCCTTAATTTGATATTTTTTTGTGCCTTAAATACGTTGAAAGCTTTTACCTTAAAAGTGGAACTGACTGTACTAAAAATAATAAATTTTACAAATTAAATAAATAGATATTATTTTGATAGAAAGGAAATAAATATAAAAATTAATAATTTATGTAAAAATAGTTTAAACCTCGAAAAAGATGAAAGTATCGATCATTTATTATGGTAATACACACCTGATATAAAAAATATAATAATTTATATTTACAAGATAATTCAAATTAACAAAAATAATAAAAATTAAAGAATATTAATTTTTCAAAATAAATATATCATTATTTATTTTATCAGTAGTTATTGATAAAGAAAATTGTCAATCCTTAGTGAAATTTCTCAGAAAAAATTTATAAATTAGGGAAGTGCCCAAGAAAACCTAAGGGAAAGTGTTTGAATAGTAAGGAATTGTGTTCTTTTTTTTTTTTTTTTTTTTAGTTTAAGTCATAAACAGAAAATTAAATATAATTTCGGTTTATTTAAAAAATCAAAAAACCTAAAGAAAAGTGTCTACATTTTTTTCTCTGTATTTGTAATTTTCCAAATAAACAGAAAACTCAAGAAAAGCTAAGAGAGTTTTTTTTAATTTAAAAAATAAAAAGAAAATTAAATAAACTTTCTTTACATTTCAATTTTTAAAAAAAACCTAAAAGGTAGTTTTCCAGAATTCAAAAGAATTATCTAAAATCTAAGATTTTTCTCTATTCTTTTGAATTCTGTTGAACCTTACCGTTGTAAGAAGCCCCCCTCTTCCCCATATTAAATAAAAAAATAAAAAATTTCAAACCTTTTAACATTTTCTTTTGTTTTTAAAAAATATTGTTTAGGGATTATCTAAATTTTTTTTGTAAAGTTAAATTTTTTAAATTGAGACCCATTCAAACTTTTTACATGTTTTTTTTTTCACTTTTGCTTCTTAGTTCCTTTTCATCATTTATTTCTTTGAATTTTTGGAATAGGGAATCAATATATTTTTTTTTGTGATAATTGATTTTTTTTTTGGAAATGAGTAATTAATGGAAATTTTTTTGTATTTTTGGAATTTTGTCAATTAAAACAAATGAAATTCCATTATAATTTTTTTTTTTCTGCCAAGTTTCTGTCTTAAATATGGAACAAAAAATTAAGGTAAATGACTGGTGTCTTAATTTCTATCTTGAAATTTAAAAAAAAAAATTGAGATATTCTTAATAAAATTTTTTTTTGAAAACTGATGTTTCCCTTTTTTAAATTTTTTCAAACAATTAAAAATCTTTGATGTAACATGAATTTATCCATTCAGTATATAAAAAATGAAATTAAATTTAATCATATTTTTATTTGTTTTTTTAATGCTTTTTATTTGAAAAAGTAAGAAAATTTGTAAGATTCTCTATGATATAAATAATTTACAAAAAAAATTAAAAAAAAAAAAACAAAATGTGATAAAAAAAAACATAATTGGTAAGAAATATTTCAAAACTAATACAGTTTATACTCCAAATTAAAATAATAAAAGATTTAAATTTGGAATTTAGTATTAGTGTTTTTTTTTTTTTTTTCTCTAAATAGTTCTTTTTTCCTTGCTGATTATTTCAAAACGAGAGAAAAATTAGATTCTATTTTTTTTTTGGTTTGTGTAGATATCAAATAAAAATTATTAAAATTATTTTTATTCTCAAAATTCATTTTTTTTATCATCGATCTGATATTTTAAAAAATTTTGTAATATATGAAAAATTTTTTGACAACAGTGAAAAAAGTAAACTTTCGGGAAAAAAAGTGAAACAGTAAAAAAAAATTCAACATATTTTTTAATTTTGAAAATTAATGAAAACTTAAATTAAAATCGATTATGAAAGTAATTAAATTGTACCATTTTGAAAATTTGTAATTGTGTAAATTTTGGTGGGACATGTTTTTTTAAGTGCCACCAGATATTGAAACTTTGAAACTAAAATATCATTCTCAGTTATATTTTTGAAAGGAAACAAAGTAATTCAGTGTTGAATCTTTCATTTTTCAATTTTTTGAACATTTTTTTGATTAATTTTCTGGTTTTATTAAATCTAATTTTTTGATCTAGAAAATGTGTTTATACGAATTAGTGAAATTAATCATAGAGTAAACCAAAGAAATTGTCACTAAAAGGTGTGTATTTGAAACAAATATTTTCTGTTTAGAAGACCAAATAAGAAAGATCAATTTTCCAAATAAATTTGTTGAAATCAAGAATGTAAAAAAAAAAAAACGAAAAAAGTATATTTTCTAAGATTCGTCTTCTTTATCTTCTTAATTTTATGGACTCCAAATAATTTATTTCCTTGAATTTCTCACACCATTACTATTTATTATTATTTTAGCAAACATTTTCCTAACAAATTTGCTTTCAAAATTCTTTTATCAAATATTTTTATCAAACAAAACCAAAATAAAGAACACTATTTCAAAAATTGAAATAAAGGAGTTGAATTTTCGGAACCTATAAAACAGTTACAAAAGATTCAACTAAAATAATAGAAAAATTAAGAAAAAATTTCAATCAGAATTCAGGATTATTTTGAGTTCTAATTTTAATGGAAAATCAATAATTATAAAATCAAATGCATATGTTCAATAAATCTTTAATTCTGATGAAGATTAATTTAATAAAATATCCTGTATTCTGAACCAAATCAAATATTATATGAATTAAATGAAAATTGGATATTAAAATGCATTTTGGAAATTCTTTAGAAATCAGAAAACAGTGATGCAAATAACCCATGTTTTTTATTTTAGCCCATTTCTATAATTTTACTCATGCAAAAAATATTGGCTGACTCTAGAAATATAAGAAACAAATCAATAGGGGTGGAAACAGTCTATAAACCAGAAATAGGGTTCTTTAAATAATTTCTAAAATAGAATTATGAAGATATGAAAAGATTAAAATGTAATTTTTTGACAAAATAATGTGAAAAATTTCATTTTTTGAATTTTTATAAAAAAATCATTTAATCTCACAAATTTAGTAAATATGACGAGATTTTTGAAATAAAAGCATTTAATATTATTGAACCATTTCGACTAATCAAAGATCTAACCTCTAAAGTCAATTTAAATCCGAACCAAGAATATATATATATATATATATATATATATATATATGTGTGTGTGTGTCTTCCTATCTTCAAATACCTCTGAAATAAAACAAAAAAAACCACAAGATAAATTTTAGTAATGGGCACAATGTTGACAACACGTGTTATTTACAGTACTGTAATTTATTTATCAAATATTATCAATAAAAAGTATTTCCATGAAGAATTAAAAACCAAACCAAATTAAGAATGAATAATTGTATCACAAATTACAGATAAGATAAGATCAAGAAATAAATAATTTTTATTTATTTGACCAGCTTAATATTTTCATTTTTTTGAATTCTATTTTTGAGATAGTCTTACAATATATTATACTAGGATATATTCCACTCTCGTATTTATTAAAATATCAATGTGTTTGGTTAATGAAATGATTTGAATCTTTCAGTTTCACATAAAAGATGACACACCAAGTTTGGAAAATGTACTTACCTCCTGAAAAGAAAAAAACAAATTTTTCTTAAGGGATAGTCTCTAGTATTTTTTTTTTTTGACCAATTTTTAAATAAGAATTCCTTATCTAGAAATATGTTTTAATATGAAAATAAGCAGGGTTTAACAATCTAAGTAATTGGTTAAAAATTTTCATAATCTCTATTAAATTTAGGTAAAAAACTTAATCGAGATTAATCCCTTAAAAGGGGAAAATTATTAAATTTCAAATTTGGTCAAATTTCAAAATTTTAAAACAAATTCTCATTTTTTTCGAAATAGTCTTTTCCATTGAAATATATTTACTGTAGGCATTTAAAACACCTTTACTGGTAGGTTAAGGTATGTTAGGATCGGGTAGAATATCTTGTGGGGTTTGGATGGTATACTAGAAAATTTTGGCAAGGATTTTGAAAAACAAAATTTTTTTTAAGAGACCAATTTAACTTTTGAAACTTGTTTTAAGGGGAAAAATCCACTTAACTTTGGTGTTAAAATTGATTTTCAAACAAATTTATGAAAAAATTTAGTGTTTATGATTTCGAGATTTTGGATTCTACAATTTAAGTTATAAAATACTACCAATCACAAAATAATCTTTTAGATTTTTCCACCCACAATTCTAAAAACCATTAAAACCCATCATACCAATCAGAGTAATCAAGAAACTCTTCAAAAAGATGAAAAAATTCAATTTGACCAATTTTGAAATTTGACCAAATTTGAAATTTAATAATCTTCCCCTTAAAAGAATAGTCCTTTATATTTTTTTCGATCAAACCAACTAACACAATTTAAATCTCCTTGATTGTCAAAAATAGTTTAAGTGATTTTAGAGATCTCTAGAATATTTAATTTTTTCAACCAATAATCAATAGTGTATTCATTAAATATAATCGTAATCACAGAGATAGAATTATGAGAACTGTAATTGTTTAATGTCGATTTTTTCTTAAATTATTGTTATATATCTATATATATATATTTGATTTTTTTTTACGTAATGTTGTCAATTTTGATATATGTTGAATTATTATTCATTTTTTTAATTGTTTTACCAATTGTATTGTGTATTTGTTTTTAAATTGTATATTTTATATTAATTGTAATATTATTTTTAAATTTGTTTAGTATTAATTTTGATGTTTTTTGTTTTTGTATCAACTATTACACTATCAAATTTTAATTTTTTATAATTAAAAAAAATATTTTTCAATCAAAAAAAGAACAAAAAATACAATTAAATATATTTAAATGACTGTATACAATATACCAAGGTCCTGTAGTTCAGTGGTAGAATATATGATTGCGGATCATAAGGTCGCAGGTTCGAGCCCTGCCTGGATCGTTTTTATGAAGGAATCAACTTAAAATACTTTTTTTTTAGATGTTAAAGATGTCAGAAACATATTTTAAAATACAAAATTTTTCTATTTTAAATAGATTTTTTCATTTTTTTAAAAAGCAAAAAAAATATTTTTTTTTTTATTCGACTTTTTTTTCAAAGGTATTTCCAACATTTTTTTATCTATTTCAAAAATATATTTGACAAAATATAACTGGTCATGTAATAATAAACACAAAATCTAAAAGATAGTTGTAGGTTTACAAATCTCATCTTAAGTCTCTGATTGTTAAATTGTAACTAAGGTTGTATTAAATAAATAAGGTTTCAGCAAAAACAAAAATCATACAAAAAGGATGCAATTACCAAGATTCTAATATGGAGTTAATTGTTAAGTACACTACACAATTAAACTGACCTTCAGAGAACATTTAATTTAAGAATTTTTTGTAATATTACTTGTAAAAAAAAGAGATAGAGAATAAAATACACAATTGATTCTCTTCTTCCTCAAGATAATATTAAAATCAATACCAAATTGATATTTCTGTTTAAATCAATTTTGAAGGTTAACTCCTTGATATTAGATGTAAAAATGAAATAATTATGAATTAAAATGTTTCATAATTTTTCCAATTTTTATTAGATTTTTCATAATTATTTTATTTTCCTTTAAGTATTGATATTTATGAAAAAATGGTACTATTTTATAATTCATATACGAATATGAACTTCCATTTTTAGTGTTTCATTTTTAATTATTTAACTTTTTCAAACCAATAACATATTAGTTTTTGTATATTGATCTTTTTTTTTTTGATCATTTAATAAATAAGTTTTTAGAAAAATGAAACATCACTTGTAGATTGAAACGACGGGTTTACAATTACGAAACCAACTATTTTTATAGACTTTTATTTTTCAATTTATATAAAATATTTTACTTTTTATAAGTTGAAAAAACTCAAAAATATCCTAACCAAATCATATAAAAATCATATTTTTGGAGATTTAATTTAGCTTCCTAGATGAAATTTGAGAGAAAGCTTCAATTGATACAATTTGATTTTATGATGATTAAATTGTCAAATGTATTTTTTTATGGTTGAAAACAGACCAGAAAAGATAACACTTCATTTCTTACTTTCAAGCTATAAGCAAATTTCTATTTTTTTTTTTTTCAAATTCAAGTATAAATTCAACACAAGAAGACAACAATAATCGTTAAAAATAAATTCATAACTATTAGGAACTTTCAGAACTGACATTCTTCAAAATTTCTGTTTCTGATTTTCTTTTTTATTTTTTTGAATTTCAAATTCTTGTTGAAAGTTTTTTAAGAGACTAGTAAACGAAAAAAATCTTGTAGTAAATTTAAAAGCCAATTCAAAAAAAAATTTTACCACATCTTGAAATTGAAAAATAGAATAAAAATCTTATTAAACTAACAATACCAAACTTTTTTAATGCTATTTTCAGAAATGAATTATTTTTTTTCAAAAAAAGTTTGATCGATATTCTCTTTTTTGAAAAGTTTAAAATTCAAGATATTTTCAGAAATAATTTAAAAAAAAAATATTTTCTTCAAAAGAAATGGGCAATTTTATTAACTGATGCTGAAGGAAGAATAAAAAAGACACTTTAAAAAGAAAATCACAAAGTTTTACCCTAACTCAATTTTTTTTTTTTTTTTTTTAAATTTTGAATTTTCAAAAGAGAAAATTAATTTCTTCTTACACCATTATGTTTTCCAGAATTAAAAAGAATTGAGTAAAATCTAGGATTTTGCTACATTCTTTTCGATTCTTGAAAACCTAGACACTTTATATTCGGATTTTTTTTTAATTTTAGAAAATCAAGCTATTCGTTAGGTTTTTTGAGGTTTACTATTTATTTGCAAGGTGTTCTAGGTTTTTTTTTTACTTTTTGAAATAAATAGAAAATTTTAATAAATTTTCGATTTATTACAAAAAGTAAAAATAGCCTAACGAAAATCAATAGATTTTCCAAATAACATATATAACCACAAAAAAAACCTAGAACACTTCCGAAATAAAATAGAAAATCTAGGCACTTCACAAATAAATAGAAAACTCAAAAAAACCTAGAAAACTTAACAAAAAAAACATAAAACCTCAAGAAAACTACCGTTATATTTTTTTTAATTTCAGAAATTAAAAGAAAATTTCTGAAAATTTTTTCTTTCTAAAATTATAAAAAAATGGCACTAAACTTTTCCAGAATGTCAAAGAATTAAGTAAAGTCTTTGATTTTACTCAATTATTACCAATAATGTAAAAGCGTTGAACTTTACAACACCCCATGTTTTTTTTTCCAGCAATCAAAAGAATTGGATAAAATTTTAGATTGTCCCCTGTTCCTTTGAATTAAGGAAAATCACATACAACTTTTCTTGAAATTTCTGTTTATTTAGAAATTTGATATATTTCACAAATAAAATAGTAAACCTCAAGAAAACCAGGCATTCTACAGCACTCTAATACACCTGATGACACTTTCCCTAATTTCGAAATTTTTGTTTAGAAATTTCAATAAAGAATCATGAATTTCTTTATCATTATCAAATGATAAAATAAATACTGAGTCTTTATTTTGAATAATATCGAGAATAGTATTTGTTCTTTTTAAAAATATTTTTTTTCTTTGATTTTTTCCATAGAATGGTTAATTCTAGAGGAAATGATCGATATCTTCTATAATTTGTAGATTAGAATTATTTTTAAATCTGTTAGAGAATTTTATTTTTAATTTATTTTAACAACAAATATATCAATACCTGTTTAGATAATTTGTGAAATTTCTTCATATAAATTAAAAGTTGAACCTTCCCATTTTAAATATTTTTTGTAGTTAAGTTTTTTTTTTTTTTAAATCAAAAGTATTAAAAATAAAAGTATTTAAATTGTCAATTCATTTCTCAAATTAAAAAAAAAAAAACTTTTATCTTTTCTTAAATTTATAAGAATTGAGTAAAATCTATTTTTTTTCTCAATTATCTGAAATTCTTAAAAAGTGATGTTAGGTTTTCTTGAGTTTTCTGTATATTTGTACAATCAATACTTTTTATTAAATAAAACAGACAATCCCAAGAAAAGCACGGTTATGTTTTTTACTTTAAGAAATAAAAAATAAATATATTAAATTTTTCATTTTATATATGAAATTAAAAAAAAAAACTCCATTACATTTTCTTGAATTATCTGTTTATTTGAGAAGTATTCTTGGTTTTTTTGAGGTTTTCTATTTTATTTCGAAAATCTATTGATTTTCTAAATAAATAGAAAACTCAAAAAAACCCAACGAAAATAGATAGATTTTATAAATAAAACAGTAAACCTCACCAAACCGCCGTTAGTTTTTTTTTTTTTTTTTTAGTTTTTGTTATAAAAAGAAAATTTAATAAATTTTCTTTTCATTTCAAAAATTAAAAAAAACTGCCGTTAGCTTTTCCAGAATTTAAAAGAATTGATTAAAATTTTAGATTTTTCTCTATTATTTTGAATTTTGGAAAATCAAGGCACTCTACAGCACTTGTCTGTACTTGAAGGTACTATAAGACACGTTGTTTGTTGAAATTATTATTATATATCATGATTTTTTTTTAATATTCTTGAACCTTCCATCCTGATCTAAACTCTTTTTCAGTCAAAGGGGACCAGTTCTATTGAAGAAATAGAATATATTCTATGAGTTTAATTCGTAAACTTTCTCAAACTTAAATTTCAATTTTTAGATCAAAAATATATTTTGCATTTTGTAAAATTTTGTTTTTTTTGTTTCTTGCTTTTTGCTTTTTTTTTTTTTTTTTTCTTCTTTTTTTTTTTCTTTTTTTTTTAAAAATAAAATTTGAAAAAAAAATGTTTGAAACTCCAAATTAACATTAAGAAAAGTTAAGCTTTGTATATTCTTAAAAAAATTCATAAATTTATAAATGAAAAATCTTATTGTCAAAAATTTTAATTTTCTAAAGAAATTGAGAATTTTGCAAGAGATCTTCCAATGAAAAGGGTCCAAAAAATTTTTTAATATAATTTTTTTTTTACTTCAAATTTAAGGTTTTTTCATGCTTTTTTTTTATGATTATGGACTCTAATTTGAAGTTTATTATTTCTCATATTTCTAATCAATCTAAGATTGATTGATTCTCAAAAAATAAAGTGACTTTTTCATTTTTGGCTGGACTCTTTTGAATGAAATGGAGTTTATTTATAATTAAGTTTTTTCTAGAATTATTTAGATTTCCATTTACTAATCATAAGCTATCTGTTACCCAGTTGATATTTTCAACTTTTTTTTTTGAAAATTGTAAATATTCGTGAGATATCTTCAGAATCCAAACGTTCTAAAACCCTTCAAAGTTTATATCTTCTTTTATAGATTAAAATTACAGGTTTGGTCAAGTTTGAATTTAGTTTTATAAATTATTATTGGGGAGTGTGAATTAATTTTTCAAAAATTTTGTTAATTTTTTATTTATCCAAATATTAATTTAGTCAAAATATTTTTGATTTAGATTAAAAATTACCAGTCCTTAAAATAATTGGTCAATACATGTTGATTTTAACATTTGTAATTTAACCCCATTTATGAGATTTTTTTTGAATTTTGTAAAATCGATAGATATTCGTTAGTTTTTTTTTGAGTTTTCAATTTATCTGTGAAGTATTATAGGTTTCTTTTGAGTTTTCTATTTTATTCAGAAAATCTATTGATTTTCGTTTACATTTTTTTACTTTTTGAAATAAACAGAAAATTTTGATAAATTTTCTGTTTATTTCGAAAAGTAAATAAAAAAAAAACCTAGAACACTTCACAAATAAATAGAAAACTCAAAAAAACCTAACGAAAATCAATAGATTTTCTATACTTCACAGATAAAACAGAAAACCTCAAGAAAATCTAGACACTACACGAATAAAACAATAAACCTCAAGAAAACCTGGGCACTCTACGGCACTTGAAGAAAAGGTCACAGAGAAAAT